AAAAAAAAAAAAAAAAAAAAAAAAAAAAAAAAAAAAAATTAAGGCTTTTTTTTCTCTTGCCATTGATCATGTAGAAGAAAACTTCATAAATCCCTCCCATCTACCCTAATCTCCTAGTTTCAGAAACACACTCTTAACGTTTGTGGATGAAGCCACAGATGAATGTTCAGTATCTGTCAAGTAAATTTCTGAGGCATGTGCTGGTGAGAGTGCCAGTCACTTGGAAATGATCCTTGGCGGGAGCTGGGCTGGCCGGAAGGTTCCTTTAAGCTAAATGAAGTTTGCTGACCTTACTTATTAGGCTGGTATCTCCAACAGATTTGTGTGTGCCAGAACGCAAGTCATTCTCACATTGGAAGTGCATTTTATCACTAGGAACATCTGGACGGCAGAAAGGCTTTTTCTTGCCTCCAGCAACTTCCAGGATGCACCGCGTTGTGTCACACTGCTGCCCGTTCCCCAGCCAGCGGGCTCTGACTGTCCAAAGAACTGCAGGCTTTCGGTATTCCATGGATTGAGTTTATTGTCAATCTTCCCTGACCAAAAGTTTTGTCCTTTGCTAAGTTTCCAATTTCAAAGCAGTGTTTAAAATGGAAAGGAGAAGGAAGCAGCAACTTGGGCTTGATTAAAGACTATCATGATCATTTTTCTCCAATGGCCTTAAGCCAGCTAGATATTCATATACCAATTTAGAATTAATTCAGAAACATTTCTGGCAACTCTGTGTGGTTGCCAATTGGCATAAATTGCTCCTAAATCAGATCTTTAGATACCAGCCTTACATGCTCAGAATTTTTACTAAATTATATTTGCTCTGTATTCCTTATTTATTTTCTCTTTCGGCACCTTCCATTTTTAAATGTGGGTTGGTGGTATTCTGTTCCTGGCACGACTTCTCCAACCTTGTTTCCCCCACAAGTGAGCTTCCTCAGCCACCCCCTGCTAGCTTCTGCTCCTGCTGAGCTGATTTTCCTGCCGAGCCTTTCTGGGGAGCGGGTTCTGGGCACTGCAGCCAAGTGCAGTGGCCCTTGCATCTCTTTCCAGCACAGCTTGCTTCACAACAATGACCTGGAGCAGCTTTTCTCCTATTCCACTATGCGTTACACTCACCCAGAGGACTTATGAAGCCTGAGACCCTTGTACCCTGCCTCAAGAGTTTCTGCCCACTCTGGGGTGTGGTGTGAGAAATCGCATTCTGATCAGTTCTCTGGAATGGTGGAGAGCTGCTGGTCTGGAGGCTCAGTATCCAAAAAGGAGCTGAAAGAAAGGACTCAGGCCCTTGCAGTGGCCCCTGGCAGAAGGTCTGGGTGCAGCGTTCACACAGCTGGATTCTTGTCATGGTTGTGAGGCAAACTGGAGTTGGACAAGTCAGTTGGCCTCTTTGGGTCTGTTTCCTTATCTGTAAAATAATGGCACTATTCTAGCTTTATCCCACCTGGGTTTTCTTTGTATTTGTAGTTTTTGGTTTTCTTTGGTGCTGGGACTTGAGCCCAGGGCTTGCCAATATTGCACTAGGCACGAACTTGGTCAAGGAGCAGCCCCTGCTCAGCCTGGTTTTAGCTGCAGAGTCCGTTCTTCAAAGCTTACAGAGAAAGCCAGCCTGTGAAACAAGTGAGTTCAGTGCTGATTTGGAAAGAGGAGCTGGGAAAGAATTGCTCTGCACCTCTGGCCCTCTCGCACCTATGGCCCTCCTGAGCTTCTCTGGGATGCAGCGCCATCTCCCGGGTGTCACAGAGCTACCTTCCAATCCTTGTTTTGGGAGAGATCTAAAATTCGTTGAACGACCTTCAAGTTCATACTTTCAAGAATGTTGCTTTTCTCCTCATAGAGCTACTGCTGCTTTTTATTTCATAGGCTATAATTCATATAACATCCATTTTTAAAGTCTACAGTTTACTAGTGTATCCACAAAGTTATGCAGACATCACCACAATCAATTTTAGAATCTTTTCATTATCCCAGAAAGAAACCAACTGCTTACTAATAATCACTCTCCTCCCTTACTCCTTAGCCTGAGGAGTCACCAGTCTTCTATCTATAGACTTGCCTATTTCTAAGGAAATTTCCATTCCGGAAATTACATATAGATAGAGTAATACAATATGTGACTTAGCATGATGTTTTCAGATTCATCCGTATTGTAGCATGTGTGATCTTTTCTGTATGGCTGGATAATACTCCACTGTATTGATACATGTGTTTGTTTATTCATCAGCTGAGGGACATTTGAATTGTTTTCACCTTCAGCGTTTACAAATAATGCTGCTCTGAAGATTCATGTACAAGTTTTCACATTGACTTAGGTTTCAGCTCTCTTAGGTATATGTCTAGGAATGGAACTGCTGGCTCATAGTCAGTCTACATCTAACATTCTGAGGAACTGTTGAACTTTTCCACTGTGGCTGTACCATCTTACATTCCCACCAGGAATGGATGAAAGATCCAGTTTCTCCACATCTCAGCCAAGTAGTATCTGCTGTGGATGGGGTTGTTTAACATCCTTTCGTGTCCTTATTGGCATTTTTTTTTTTTTTTTTTTTTTTGTACCAGAGATTGAACTTGGGACCTTGAAGCTTGCAAGGTTCAGTACCACTGAGCTAAATCCCCGGCCCTATTTGTATAGTTTCTTTTAAGAAATGTCTATTCAGATCCTTTGCTCAATTTTTAAATGGGGTTATTTGTGTTTTTATTGTTGTTATAGAAATTCTTTATATATTCTGGGTACTATACTGTTCTATACATGATTTGCAAGTCTTTTCTCTCATTTTGTAGGTTGCCTTTTCCACTTTCTTTATAGTATGCTTTAAAAAGTGAGAGAGTTTTTAAGTTTGATAAACTTTATCCAACCCCTCAGAGATTCTTGCTGTAGGCATTTAACTGAGTTTCGCAGGTGAGGGGCTGGGAGAGGATCCGTGCAGTAGACTGACTGGGCCCTGCTCCCTGAAGTCCCTGCACAGCGCCCCTCCACTCCTCCATTCCCGGCCCGGCGGGAGCCAGTCCTTCCAGAGAAGCCAAGTTCCTCTAACCACCACGACTTGTTGGTCACTGATGTGGGGGTCTGTGGAGAGTAGAGGGAATGCGAGGGATGGTCACCCAAACACTGCCAAGAATGCATGAAAGTTGTGGGGTTACCTTCCACTCCCTGGGGAAAGGGTATCTGAGATACTACTATTCAGCCTCAGCAGACCTGTGAGCCTCCTTCAACCAAACTGCGGGTCCTGATTACAGATATAATAAGAATTAATAAGTTGAGCTTTATCACAATGACCCTGTCCCTCATCTTTAGGACCGATCTCTTTTGTGCTAAAACAGAGTGGCTTTGCCCTAATGTTGGAGTGTGGTTTTCTAGAACAAACTGCTTAGTGGTTTAATCACTATAGCCTATGAACCCTCGGCTTAGCTACCAAACTATGTGACCTAGAGCAAGTCACTCACTCTTGTAACCTTACTGCCACCATCTGTCAAATGAAAAATATAGCGTGTAATACACAACCATTGGGAAGGATGAGTATACAGGTTAATTGGGGATAAATTCTCCTAACCTCTGGATGTAAGGTCAGAAAGTTGCCTTAGGTTATCCAAATAGTTATATTTTGAGGCTAAATGACAGCCCTTATTTCTCTCTGAACATTGTTCTTTTTTAATATGGTAGAACGATTACGTGTATTTTTCTCATACAATTTAACACATCTAATAAAACAACGGAGGCTTATACACATTTCTTGGTCTTTTGTAAAATAATACACACACACACACACAACTAAGTATCTTTATTAAGGATCTTTCCATTACTGCATTCTAATCTGTGATCCTTATTCTGAGGATAGCAGTCTTTCCGAGCAATGTGAAACAGACCAACCGTGACATTTCTCCCTAGGTAGATGATCAGAGGCACTTTAGCTTATGGGAAGTGATGTCCCTCCTGATATGAGACTACCAGGTGGCTGAGAGTGGTCAGGATGAAGCCAAACAAGATTGTACTTCCTGTGAGTAATATGGCACAGTGACTGTGACCCTGAGCAGAACTTGAGCGTCAAGTCACATGGAAATGGACCCTCCTTGACATCTCTTGCTTTGTAGAATGGGGATATTCGTCTCTACAATCAAACTGATTTGTGAAAATGAGACTGACCAAGGAGGATCGTGAGCAAATTTGAATAAGAATAGATAGAAATTCAAAGTCTATATGCACTTTGTACTTCGTGAATATTGCATATTAAGCCTATATATTATAGACCAAGTTTCCAGTAGTAGCCACCACCTGGATTCTACCTCCCTCAACCTGTTTTCGACTGGATATTGGTGAGGTAGTGTAATCTCCAATTTTAAAATCACTTCCTGAATTTCAACAGTGGGATAATGTCTCATCTAAAGGCAGCTGCTGAGACATTTGTTAACCATACTTTCCTATCTTAAATATTTATTTTTTCATTAAAATTTGTGAAGTACCAATAGAGAGGAAATTGTGTATTAAATAGTTTCTCACTTGGTCTAGTGTGTTTTCATCTCATTTCCAAGGTCAGATGGTCTTAACAGAAAGACAACATACACACAATCTGTTCCATGACAAGGCAAAATGTGCAGCCCAGAAAGTCAAGTGGAATGTTTTTCATGTAGCGATTGTGAAATTGCAGCAACTTAGCCTATCAGAAGCAAAAGTGAACTCCCCAAACTTTCCATGCCATTGAAAATCAGTAATTCCTTTGGTAGATGCTGCCATGATCTAGTACCCAGGATATAACATAGGGCTATGGGTCAAGTGAATCTAGCAGAGAAAACTGGAAAATGTGAAAATAGGAAAGATCATTCTTTGTACCCATACTGGGATGCAGACAGATTGGATATTCAGTCAGACCGCGGGGATTTCATGACAAGTCAATCTAGTAGCAAGGTGGTAATTCAAAGATGGCCCGGTGGTGTGTATACCCCCTCGTGGGGCTTCACATCTCCACAGAACAAATCATCTTCCCAGAAAGAGCAAAAGAGTGAAGGCAGAATGCTCACTTTTGCTCCAAAAAAGCAAGTTAATCAAACAAGTCACATACATCAGGAAAATCTGGCAAAAGAGATTTATGTACCTCATAATTATTGAGTAGAAATAGGGGCTGCTTTGATAGTTAACCCTTTGCCACCCGATGAGCAGAATAACTGTTACCCTGATATCTGCCCCAAAGTTTTATTTTAATTAGTTTAATTTGATTAAGACACGCTTTACATAGCAACTTAGTAAGACCATGTCTCAAAATAAAAATTAAAAGAGCTAGTGATACAGCTCGATGAAGGCCCAGGATTCAATACCCAGTACCAGAAAAAAAGAAAGACATAATTTACATATGATAAACTATATAGATTTTAGGTGAGTTTAGAGAAATGTGTACAGCCACATAACCACCATGGTAACTAGTTAGCAATGTCAGTCTTAGAGTCGTGACAATGCCATGTAGCACTTCTAAGCTTCTGAATCATATTTCCACGTATTTGTTGTTTCATTACTCGCTTAGGTGCTTCTGATTTCCACACTCAAAACAGTGATAATTCTGGATTAGCTTTATTTTATAAGCAGCAGTGGGGGACAGAATGTTCATGAGTTGAGAGTAGCTATCATATTTGTGCAGTGTAGGACCACCTGAAGCGAAAGGAGGTCCAGGTTGGACTCGGAAAACATTGTAGGTGGGAGGTGTTCCTGTAGACCGTAGTAACTCCATAAGCCACAGTGTCCTTGTGGTGTCTCCATGTAAAAGTAGCTCCCCAGTTCCAGAAGGAAAAGTTGTTCCTCTTAAGTGGAAGAATGGCACTCCTCAGTCCAAGACCCTTCATCTTTCTCGGTGCGTAGAGAACAGTTGCTCTTGTCTGTATTTACCACTTCAGCCAAGATTTTCAAGAGAATGTTTCTATTCTCTATGGTGCTCTTTGGTGTAGTCAGAAGCCCCTCACTTAATGTTCCATATTATATAATTTTGCTCACAGCAAGCTTTTCCGATTTGGCTTAATCTCATAATTAATTTAATACACATGCCTCGTTTATGGCAATCCAAAGCAAACCTACTGGAGGAGGCAGTCACATGACTAGGTAAAGTAAGGATGTGATTTGGATCTTATCTAAAGACCTAAAAATGAATTTGGACCCCTGTCAATATTCTTGAATTCTTTTGCTCTGACATCTGTCTTTGTGTTTCTAGCACAGAATTCTACAGATAATTTTTTTTCTTTGCATTTAGCTTCAGGTTTGTGTTACTTAATGAGTAAATCCTTTCTTGCATCTATCAGGATGGGCAACATAGGTTCTGATTCATCAGGACCATACAACATGGATAGTTTGCTCCAGGTTTTCTCTAGCCAACTAAAATGAAGAGGAGGATGACTAAGTCATGAGATCTTCTCTCTTTCTGTATGCTGATCAGCTACTTGGTGAACTTGAACAAACAATGTCTTAATTGCAAGCACAGTTGACACAGCGTTTTCATATCTAGACCCTCACCAGTCTTCAGAAGAGACCTATGAGCCAGAGAGCCTGAGTACCAGGGAAGGAATTAGGTACTGGGTCTTTAAATAATCATAGCACGGACCAGCTAAAACTCTTTTACTAATCATACATATTCATGAGGTAAAATGCAATATTCTGATACACACACACACACACACACACACACACGTATATATTGTATAATGCCCAAATCAAAGTCTTTTGTGATTAAAAACATTCAAAATCCTCTCTTTCGGCTTTGAAGTTTATAGCTAAGTATCTTTATAAAGGGTTTGCTCATATTCCCTTCTCCAAATCAGTGATTTACACTTGCTTCTCTTATCTTTTGGGTCCTGGGTTGTTTTTTGTTTTGTTTTGTTTTGTTTTGTTTTTAATCTGCTTTGTTTTCTTTTTACAGATAAGGAAACAGCTAAATTTTTGTAGGCAACATGACTTCTTAGGTTTGCCCTGGGACTTTATCCAGATCTTTCAGTTAAACACCAGTCTCACATCTCTCTGCTCATTCTCCATAATTCTGATTGCCAGTTCGCAGAATATTAAACTACACTTCCGTGGCTTACATTTGTATATTTTCTTTGCTTTTTGTATGGTTTAATTTTTATTTCTCATGTGTCCATTTTTCCTAATTTTTATTTGCACTGTTCCTTTTCTTTTTTTCTGTTCCTAATTAATCATCCTTCTGAAAGTTTGCTAAAGAGTGGGTAAGTGCATTTTCCCTTTCAAATAACAATGTTTTGCATTATTGTTTTTGTTAAGGAAATACAAAATAATTCAAGTGGATACCAAAATGATCTAATAAATGTCAAGGAGCTGGCATATAATATTAAGTGTTGAAATCACTTTTCCTTTCCCCCTGGCATTTACAGCAGATTTTGGTTTTTGTAGGGGTTTGTTTTCACATTACTATTTAAATTTAATGGCCAGCCACAGATAAATTGAAACCCTTAGCTCTGGTCTCAGTAGAGGCTTGAAGCCTGGCTCTGCTTAACCCGGAATGGAGACAATGGTCACTTGCCTCAAAGGCTCAGAAAAAGACACTTGGCTTAGACACTGAGTCAACCCCTGGCGATAAAATTGGGGAGCTCTTAAGGCATGCACCCCAAAGTACCTGAAAGTTTCAGAACAGTTTTTGCAAAATTAGTGCGTTAACCAAATCCCCTTTGGTTTTCCACCTGCCTAAGCCACATCTCCCCAGCAGTTTTCCAAAGATAATTTCTCATCTCCTTGGTTAGATTATTGTGGAGATTTTCTTTGTAAAGCCCATATCGGCACACTGCTAGGCTGTGAAGCCATCCGTGTGTGCTATTTGTAAACGTGTGTGTGTCTACACATATCAAAGGTTTCTAAAGCTTTGAATGTGGAACAACGAACAATAAGGCTGACAATTCTTTTTTGTTTGTTTTTTCTTAAGGAGCTTCAGATCTCTTTCCTTAAGAGATCTGGAGTCAGAATCTTACAGATGCTTCTAGGACTATGGAAATAAACTGGGTCTGCAGGCCAGGCATTATTTACAAATTGTGCAGGGACAGCTGCAGCTATTGCCTCCCAAACATGCTAATATTTGTCTTTCTGTGTTCTTTAGCATCAGTACCACTCAAAAATAGACGAACTAATTGAAGAAACTGTTAAAGAAATGATAACACTCTTGGTTGCAAAGGTAACCTTCAGCTTCGGGTGAAATCCTTAACTGTGACAGTGCTTGCTTGTGTCCACATTTCCATTAAAATATAACACGTTAAAAAGTTGCGCTGGATCCTTGCATCTTTCAGAAAACAAGATTGTACATCACCCAGCCGCAGCTCAGAATGATTTTCTGATGATTGTGAGCCATGTGAAGAAAAATTGATGAAATGGCATATGTTAACTTAATAAGAACTTGTCCCCAAACGTTGCACTCAGTTACGCGGGAAATGTTTGTTTTGTTTTTCAGTGCTGACAAAGTTAGATTTTTAAATACAGAAAGTTAAATGGTAATAAGGAATTCTGCCATCATGAAAACCCCTTTTCCTCTAGTTTTACATGCAGTGAGAGTCATAATAAAACATAAAAGTCAGATAAAGCTATTTCAGTCACCCTCATGAATTATAGAATTTTAACTAAGTAATGCTGAATGGGAAGACATTTATATTTGCCAGTGCTAAACTTCTGTTTCCCCAAAATTACTGATAAAATACAAATAAAAATAGATTGGATTAAATGTAGTGCTAATATGTAACATAAAACTGCTTTGCGCAGTTTTGGATTTTGAAAAGTGCATTTAATATTATCGCATGCTATATGCAACTCAATAATATTTTGTCACTTTGCACTTCTGTAACCCTCTATATTTGCAATCACATAATAATGAAGAGAAAGCCGGATAAGTCAAATATTTCATGTAAAGGCAGTCTCCTCTTTTCTCCAAAGGTAGGCATCAAACATAGTAGAAAGCAGAAATGAGCCGAGGGCTCAGTTCTGCTGGCTCCATCTCTGTGTGGTTGGGAAATGTTTCTCTTTGTTGTGAACAATGATAGTTTGAAATAATAATTTTTTTCATTGCTGTTTCACTAGTTCATTACTATCTTGGAAGGAGTACTGGCAAAATTATCCAGATACGACGAAGGGACTTTGTTTTCTTCTTTTCTGTCATTCACAGTAAGTAAAGAGATTCTTTTCTTTCCTGGTTTTTGTGATAGTTTTGGCTTTGGCTTTTGGCATTGGTTTTCAGAAGGGGTGCCGTTGGATCGTACTGTTTGTTCTGTATGTTGTATCACATTGTGTGTATGTGAACTGTGGTCCACTATTAGTACGTAATATGAAGGCTCAGAAAGTAAGCAGGACGTTTCATAACCACAGCAGGTGGTCCAGCCTTATTTCTCTTTCATCTATGAATGTAAATGTGCAAATATGTTTGTGTATACACACATACACACACACACACACACACACACACACACACACACACACACACACACACACACACACACACACACACACCCCACCTCCTCTATGCATGCATCCACAGGATTGCCTGGCCACTTTAGCTCTCTCTGGCACAACTCCTAATGGGACCCACTGTTTCCACACTTGTAAATTTAAAATTAATATCAGAGTGTGCACATAGAAACCCACAGGTCATAAGGGGCTGCGGACAGGTTTCGTGGGTCCTTTCTGTGCCGGGTATGTTTTTGTTACCTGCATGAGTTGCTTGCATGTAAAAACTCTTGAAAAAGTCTGCGTTTCAGGGTAGAGCTCACCATGTGCCAGCCACAGCCCACTGGTGCAAGCCTCAGGTCCACATAGACAACCCTTGGTCTGTAGCCTGCTGCAGCCCCTCCTGACAGGCAGACTCTCTGTGTTAACAGCCTCTGGAGCAGATGACCAGCCCTGTAAGTGCATGGTCCCAGAGATGAGTAAATTGACCAAGCTTTATACGTGCCGAGAGCCATCAAGTCTGTGTCAGAGAAGGGCAAAAGTGAGGTTAGAGGTGGAGAGAAGCCAGAGTGTTTCAAACCTGTGGGTGCGCAGTGCATGGAGAGCTCACTGTGAGAGGACTGCGTTGGGGACCCAGCTCTCCCACTCCAGGCCTCGGATACTGCCACCACTTCCTCTGCCCTCCTGTTTCTGACCACAGGGCTCTTGCTGGCACCAAGCTCTTTTCTTTGGGAATGGTAAGGGCACGCAGTGAGTGTAGGACCCACTGTCTGGGGGTCTTTCTGACAGCCTTCCTGACTGAGAGGAATCTCTCAGGTGGGTATTGACTGCCAAGACTAGGCCCGGCACGGGGTAGTTGCTAGCAGTTCATCATCTTTGGAGCTAATAGGACTGAGTGCCAGTCCCACGCGCAGTATTCACCAGATGTGTGATCATGAGCAGTGTCCCACCCTTTCTGGACTTCAGTTTTATCATCCTCAAGAAAGTGAGGTGTGGATAAGATCCTCCATAACGAGGCCTGGTGAGATGATGGCATCGGAAAGAGAGCTGAGCATAGCACAGCTTATGGTCCACCTCAATAGATGAAAGCTGTTACTGGTGACAGGTAACTTACAGGATTATTACAGGATACAAATATACAGACACACTTCTTTCCAAATCTACACTGCTTTGTTCTCTTCCCCAGCCACAATGTAGTGTGCCTAGGAATTCAGGAGAAACCCGTTAAATACATTTAAAACATATCTACATGCCGAGTTTGCCTTGATCTTCTTGCCTCTGATCTTCCCAGCCTAAGGAGTGAACTCAGTCTCGAAGTGTGGCAGCTTCACACTTCCTGGAGGTTTTTGATGAAGGTGGGGTGGGGTGGGACTGTGACAACAGGAATTCCATCCAATTTCTCTCTCCAGGACCACCCATCACATGTTACAACTAAAACGAAACTTGTCCGACCCCTCCTCTAACAATGAAACCAAAGCTCAAAGAGGGGAGCAATGTGTCTGAGGTCACATAGCATGGTGGGGACAGGGACCCGGCCTCTTGCCAGCTCTCCACCACCACTGAATGGCTTACTGGAGGGAGTAGGACTCGGCTGGCAGTTGCCTGGCACTAGAAGGCAGATGGGCAAGTGAGCGGGGAGGATTCATAGGGAGGTATTCGGGGCACATGAGTGGGAGATATTAGACAGTGTTTTGTTCCTTAGTGAAATCATGGAAATGGTGACAAGGGACAGAAGTAAAAGCAGCATCTCTGGAGAACATCCTCCTGACACTTAGAGGGGACATCGCTTTTTCTGAGTCTTTGTTTTGAGTAACTTTATTCAGCTGGACTTGAACCTGTGAAACCCAGAAAAGCCCCACCCAGGCCCTACCCTCAGGAGTGCCTTACAGAGGGGGCTGGCAGGGCGTGGTGATGGGCAAGCGAAGCACAGGGGAGCTGAGAGCGCCTCCAGAGAGCTTTGGGAGCAAAGAGCCAGACTGTCCTCTGCAGAAGTTTTCCAGCTCAGACTGCCGTGCTGTCTCTTCCCGCTGAGACACTGCGGCCCCACTGCCTGCCTAGCAGAGAAGGCACCAAAATGCAGGGTGCTTCCATGCCTGCCGCTGGGCCTGTGACTTCCCTTCTTAGTGACACTCCTCCCACACACTTGGCCACCGCAGCCCATGGCACCCACTTCTCATTTGCAGTCTCTGTCTTGTCCCCTGCCAGTGTTCCTGTCCCAGAGAAGCTGAGCTGTGCCTGGGGGTGGGAGGAGCGTCCCCAAGCAGAACGGAGCTCCTGCCCACACTGCAGAGGGCTTTTGAAAGGGTGTTGACTTCCCAGGAGTGGAGTGGAGGTGCAGAGGGCTGGGCGGAGGTAGCAGGTGTCATCGACCAAGTCTGAAACCAGTGTGGGCACCATCTGAGAGTCCAGGCCTGGACCTAGACACAGAGTCAGTGTGAGAGCCTGGCAGGGTCTCCGTCAGCCTGCTCCGGTGTCTGACTCCATTCTTCCAGTATTACTGTGCACTTACCACATCCCCACCTCAGCAGGCTGCCAAGGATGAGCCATGTGCTCTGCCCCCCAGAAAGCTGACGGGTATCGACAAATATGCCACCCTTTCCCCCTCTTTCTCCTGCTGAGCGCCTCCTTTCCTGGGTGGGCTTGATTTCATGGTCCAAGCCAGACATTTTGGAAAACGTCTGCAGTGGCACGGAGCAGGCAGGAATATTTATTTCTCGTCTCCATCTGCACTGCTTCCTCTCTTGGAGAGGAGCTGGGGAGGCGGGAGGAGGAGATGTGGCATCCTCGTGCCAGCCCGAGAGGCGCCCAAGCGCACCCTCCCTCCTCCCTCAGCAGCCTCAGCAGCAGAGCAGCCGGGGATTGATGAAGGCAGGCGCCTCAAGAACTTTTGAAAGATCAGCCCAGTTGGAAGACGCAATTAGCAACTATCCGCCCATTTCTCTTGCCTGCAAGATGTGCTTTTGTGTGGGATGCATGTTTGGAAAGGTCCCCTCAGTGGGCAGCCTTGTACTGTTCTTTTAGGAGGCCAAGAAAGGGGCAACAGTGGCTGGGTCCCTGTCCCAGAAAATTCAGGTTCTTTCCTTAGTCTTGGCCAGGTGCTAATAAATATGCTGGTTCTGAATTCATTTCTTTACCCACTCACTCATTCACCCAGCGTGCATTTACTGAGCGCCTGGTATCAGGAACTGTGCTAGGTGCAAGGGATACAGCAATGAGCACGAAGGCCATCCTCTGTCCTGGAGCTTCTACTTGGTTGACAGGTGATGCAAAGGGAAAGAAAGTGATCCATGGAGGGAGTGTTGCCCAGAACACAGCTAGAGAGCAAGGAAAGTGCTGTCACTGTAGTAGGGATGGTCATATGACATCTCTGCAAAGAGGAGCTTAAGTTGAGACTGTAGGATCCACAGGGCATGAGGAAGGAAAGACTTCTGGAGACCAGAGCAGCCACAGGAGCCATGGCTGGACGGGGAAGCAGTTTGCAGATGCTGTGGATAGGGCTCAGTGACTGTGTGCTAGGGGTATGGGCACACCTGGGGAGGGCAGAAGCAAAGGGCCAGAGAACAGAAGGTTGGAGGCTGAGAGTGAGCAGGATACAGCAAGATGGACAACCCCAAAGAGAGGGACTGAGGTGGGAACCTAGCTCTGCCCCTGACCGTGGAACTGAGTGACCTCCAGGTCACAGGGAACGTGCCTTGGCTTTCTATTTCCTCTACTGTCATGTGACGAGTTCTGTGAGATGACTTCAGAAATCTGACATGACCACAAGAGCACAGCACCCATTCCTTCAGCCCTTGCTAAGTGCCTGGCACAGAGCTAAGTGCTTTCCATGTGTCCTTTCTGTGGGATCCTGTCCGATGAGACTTTTCAGCCCCAGCCCGCCTGAGTATTCCCTTCATGAAACTCCACCTATAGGAGCAGCCCGGCTCTTACCCTAAAGCAACACTGAATCTTCGGAAATCTGTAGAAGTCATCTGAGACCTTCCCATCAGGCATAGCCATTCGAGGCGGTCACAACCTGTAACATGGAAGCTGCTCAGGACAGGGGAAGAAAGCCAGGGCGTTTTAGGACTCTCAGGCTCCCCAAACCTGCTGTAGGTTCAGTCTTCTAGGTCTCGAATTACCCTCATTCATTTTTTTCTCCTTTGGCAGTGTGATAGCTGTTTTTCCACTCAGAAATAAAACTAAGTAAGCGTGCTTCTTCCCCCAGAATTGGTGACAAGGTTGGTGTTGGTATCAATCAGTTGCATTCACAGCTTTCTTGCAGATCTTTTGATGCGATGATTATTGTGGTCAAAGTTAGAGCTGGATCAAAGGAACTTAACTCTGTCCATAAGACAGGTTTTTTTTGTTGCGGTTTTTTTGGGTTTTTTTGTTTGTTTGTTTGTTTTTGGTGGAGAAGTTGTTCTAACTGTAGAATAGATGGAGGGCTTGTGAGAGTTTGCTAGTGTTTTCTCAGATGGTGTTTCTTTCTTGCTTTGGCTGTGAGGAATGCCTAGGATAGGATTGGTGGCTGTAGATGAGGGACAGACAGAGGTGTGGGTCCACTCTCCGGGGAGTAACAGCGTCAAGTTAACCACTGCTGAGTTCTGTGATTGCTTGGTTGGCTACCACATGTAAGAATGAAGGTACCTCGTAGAACGCAGCACCAAGCTGGTACTCATGGCCGACTGCTTAACACTGTATTAAGTTATTAGCTGTGTGTTCTCTCTTCATCTTTACAA